CACGCAGACAACATCATCAGTACTGTCGAATTTGATGAAACACTTTCAAGTGCAAGTTATTTTGTTTATCTACCGTTAGTCTGATGTTCCCGACTGTTTCCTTCATGTCAAAAAAATCATCCAACTGATGGTCCCTCCACCCTGACACGTGCGTTTGGGTCCGATGTAGACTCTGATCGGAAAAAGGAAACCTGTTCTTCCCTCGCTTAATGCAATAAATCTAAGCTCAAAATTTTCGTCGGATTTCGTAGTCAATACTGCGTAAACGTCTTTAGAAGTACTAAAAAGCTTCGAAATTTTATCTCTGTTGTGTTGGAAAGAAGCCGTTTCGGCGGTCAAACGCTTGAAGGCTATAGACTGTCTACATTTAAATTTAATTATGAGCATTCACCTCGATTTTTCTCGCTGTGACTTGCTCTGATACCGTACGCGTTCGCTGAAAGTTCCACAAGTTAGCTGAATTACGTCCATGCCTTTGTGGAACTGCCGAAGCAGTTTAATGTCCAGCAGAATCTGTTTGCGTCATTTCACTAGAATACCTTGTCGGTACTTCATTGCAAACGTGTCGGCACTTCGGCTGATATTTTACTCCAGAATCGTCTGCTAAGTTCCCCCTTAATTAAGGGCACCCTATAATAACTGTCACTCACTCATCTTGTCCAGATATTGTTCGAGCGTTCAAACATGACTAGTAGACAGAGGACCAAGTATCCCTAGGCATGTTTCCCTTGATGTCCGCCGCCGAACCACTGCTCATTTAGCTGGTGTATCCAGCCAGGGATATATTTTTGACTGCAGTCTCTGCTAGCCGAAGACAACGGAACATCTGCCGCGACGCGCGATTCGACGACGACGACGACGACGACGACGACGACGTCGACGGGGAGAGAAGCGATAGAAAACGGTAATGCCATCATACGATACGCGGCGCGGCGCGGCGCAGCGCAGCGTTGAAGTTGCCAATCAAGCACAGATGAGGGAAATGCGATATGAGGACGATCGACCAGCCACACCTCGACATTAGCCTTACAGCTGTGTACACTTAGAGAAATGCAGCTTGGCAGTACGATTTCGCTGAATGCTCATTTGAGGTGAAGTGGGTGTAGTTACCAGCCGACCGTATTGTCGATGTCGTTGAACAAGCATTATATGTCGTCATGGTCGTTTAGTTCAGAGCTGGAAACTTATCGCGATCACATCGTAGTGGATCTGAGTGGATCGGATGGGACTGATCGAAACGCGACCTCAAGATAACGAGAACCGCGCTGAGTGCAAATCGTTGTCGATCGTCATCGACGTAGACAGCAACGACGACAATGGCCGACGACAACGACACATCTGTTTGCCGCCGCATGCCACAACACGATGCACTGCAGCGGTATCACGACGGACGGTCACCTTGGGTGACAGCAGTTGCGAAGAAGGCAATATAACCACTTTGTCATACTGTCGACATGGCCTGAAAGATGGACAATGATCGCCACCGCATTCCAGAGCGGTTATGCACCAAGCAGCCTGCGTAGCCGAAACTCGACCATCGCAAAGCGACTAAGGAACACAGCGCCACGTTCGAGCAGGGGTCACATCAGCCGGCGACTGACGTCATCGTCTTCGGTCAAGGTCGCTAATTGGCATGACTGTCGTCGGTCGTTGTCCGTCGCCGTTCATTCAACACACCGGCGCTGACCGATGTCCAACGAAGCTGACACCAAACGTCGATCACTTGCAATACGTTATGATGGCTGTCGTTGAAAAGACTACGGTTTATCGCGCGCATTGAACACAATCATGAAGGATCGCAGTTTGGTGAAAAGAACACAAGGCGCT